GATATGAAAAAAATAAGCTCATCACACAAAGGTAACAGGTTTTCACACCTACAGTAATAATTTTGAAACGGAAATAAACTCAGGTGCTCGTAAAAACGAACCAGTGCAGTGCAGTATATTTACAAACTTGTATGCTGCCACAGTTTTATGTGCAAGTAAAATTTTAATTGATGTACCAAGTATAGGGCGGTAATAAAAGGCATGTATATAGAGCCAATAAACGTAAATTAGCGCATAAATTGGTAATGAATAATAGTTCCATTAGATACGTATAGTGGTACATCCGGCGCTGCATCTATTTAATTTTTATTTTCGTTGCCATTATTTATGTTTCAAAAAAAAAATGAATTTTAATTAATTGACTACATTTAATGCCTATACTAAATCTAGATTTGACTTTAATCTAACTTTCTTACAATAAAATCGTCTTCTGTTTTTATTTATTTATTTTGGGAGTCAGACAAGGATGCACACTGCTACTTTTTAATATATACAATGAAGACGCGATCAACAAGAAAAAGAAGCGTTGGAAATGCGGTGTTACCGGCGAATGTTGAGGATACCATAGAGAGAGAAGGTTTGAAATGAAGAGATATTAGAAAGAATAAGACAGCAAAGGGCTCTATAGAAGTCAATAAAAAATAGGCGAGATAGGTTGGTAGGACACCTCCTCAGGCGTGAAGGCCTACTGAGAAACATATTAGAGGCACAAACAGTTGTTGAAAGGAGTATAGGTAGACCTAAATTAGATTACTGTTCGCAAATTATTAAGGATGAGGGATGTTCTAATTTTAAGGAAATGCGAAGATTAGCTCAGGATAAGAAGGAGTCGAGGTGCGTGTCCAACCAGTATTAGGACTGGCGACCTTATGATGATGATATTCCTTTTATAGAATAGCTATTCAATCTTCATGCCATAATTTTTCCTATTTTTATCCTGATATAAACGATACTTGAGGTCCTTTAGAAACAGTCAATGAATATACCGATTTTTCGATATTATATTTAATATAGAATAGCGTAACTGCTGTGTTATGAGTGTTCACATATGCTCATCTTGAAGTTTTGTACTCATTAATAATACTCAGGATAGGAAGGAATGGAGGTGTGTGTTCAACCAGTCTTAGGACTAACGATCTTATGAAGATGATATTCCGTTTAGAGAGTAGAGCAGATTTATTTATTTAATAAACATCATCGAGTAAAGTATTTTCACTGACTTTTTTGGTTTGATGGACTTTATATCCATTTATTGATAGAATTAGTAACTCGAAACAGGACTTTTTAAAAAAAAATAACGAATAATTATGAATAATTCAAAAATGAGTCATTCTCGATCAGTTTACCAGTAGTTTGCTTGCTCCTCTGCTAAAAACAAAACAAGAAAAGTAGCTTCAGAATGTAATTGTCTAACAGAAAAATTGACATAATTTATTACTGTAAATGGATATTTGAAAAATTAATTACCATGCAATTTTACCGATGATTCATGAAATATAAAATTATTTTGTTGTCATAAATATTTTGAAACGATTGAAAAATACTCGCCCATAATGACTCAACAATCTGAATGAATTATAATAAGAAAATTAGAGAGTCATCGAGGGTGCTATACTGATTTATGCCACTGTATTTATAAAGTGAACAATTTCGAAGAAAATACGATAGGAATTGAAGAACTGTCAGATTAAGAGCAGTGGTAGCAAACATGTTAGAGTTTTTTAGTGGGCAGTGGTAGCAAAAACAGACCGTGGTAGGTAAATTTGTTCAAGATTTTTCTCTCATTTTTGAGTTTTCTATAACTTCTCTATTTTTTTTTTTCGTGCAAATTCTTGTTTAGAATAGTTAATTCTATTAGTAAACCGAATTTAGGTAAAATCCATTGACTTTATTCCTTATTCCTATAACTCAAATTTCATCATGATTGTAACAATAAGTATTACTTATATTTGTTCCATGGTTGCGTACACTAAACTGTCGAATAAGTCAAATAAGTATTAAACAGAATTTCGAAATTCGACCAATTCAATGAAAATTTTCACTTGCTGTACGTGTTTGAATGTCAATATTCAGTCGATAAAATATTCGGCATTCATTCTAACGAATAAGGTTGTCAGGTCTACTAATTTTTCAGTACATCTACTGATTTTAGTTATAAGCTACTGGTCATTAATATGGTTAATTTGTGGCATCATAATTTTAGGTGGAAGGGATATTTGAAGTGTGCTATGCAATAGTGTTGCAACGGACCTCTGCTTCCGCTTCCGAAATTACGGAAGTTCCGCATAGTTTTTCACATCTGGTTCCGCTTTTTTTAAAACGGAAGCTTACCGGAACTTAACAAAATATTTCTTATCTTTCTCAAAAAAAAATTTGAATGTTGTGCATGTACCTTTCGCCAACTTGCAATGACCCCTCTGTAACATTGTAAACATATTATCAACCGTTTATGTTTACGAACTATTAGCAACAATGTGGTTACGTTATTAATAATAATATTGTCCCTGTGCAAATAATTTTATTATATTTTCCAAATTTATTGTCTTATTGGTTCCCTACATTAATCCAAAAACTTTCAGCTCCCCCTTAGCCAGTTCTCCTAATAATTTCATTTCAAAAATACTAACAGGTAGACGTGTATACGTTTTATTTATTTTGTATAGTGTTTGTTCAGTGTTGTATGTTTTAAGTTAATAGTGCAATTTTGAAGTCGAAAAAAGAAGTCCTATTTAGAATTATTTTGTTGATATTAACAATGCAAAATCTGTAACAAAATATTCACCAATACTGCGCACGACTACTGCAATAAAGAGTCACCTAAAATCACTTCCGCATCCACATCTGTTTTCGCTTTCGCAAAAATTTACTGTTTACGTTATGACACTTCCGTTGCATCACTATTATGCAGCAAGGATAAAATGGTGGTAATGCTTGTAGAAATAAAAGTTACCTAAAGTGTAGATTTTCTCAATTATAAATTTATCATTTTTTATTATAGAATTTATGTTTTCTTAATTAATTACTATACTCATTAGTAGTTAAAATTGGTTAACCATCATGTTCCACACGTTTGCTCCACTTTCTTGTGCTCCAATTGTGTCCAAAAGTGTGTGTAAACTGAACATAATATTTTTCATATTCTAAACATTTAACAATTAATATCGCACCTACTTATATTGAAAAGATGTGTTGAAACGTTATGGGAACTTTTTGCAAACCGTTAAATAAAATATATATATANTAGGCTGAAGCATTCTTGAACTATTCCGAACATTCTTCTGAATAAAGATTTATTTTAAAAGAAATCTTTCCAAATATAGCAGTTTGATCACACATTCACTATCATAAATACCACATACCGACACCCATCGTAAAGACTAAATTCGCACGTTATCAGTAAATTATCAACACTGGCTGGGCTACCTTTCGTCACAACTATTACTGGATAAAAATCTGTTCACTGAATTAATTGACAACAAAGTAAACCACTGATTTACTTTTGAAAGTTGTTGCTCTACCTGTTTAGAACCGGTAAAAATATGCCAAAGCAAAAAATATTAATAATATTATAAACAATGTTTTGACCGAATTTTTGTAAACCCATACAACTCTTGAGATAAAAGACTAAATTAAAATGACATATATTACAATTTACAGTTGTTTAGATGTTGATCGTTGACGCTTTCAGAAAAAACAATTCGACGTCTTGGACTATGTTTAATTAAAAACAAGTACAGAAAAAATACAAGTTGCAAAATGGTCACTAAAATGTCATGTTACGAGTCCTTTATAGGGTACAATGGTAGAAACATAAGGTTCATATACAAAGGCTGATGCATTATTTACTAAAAAAAACTGTTTTTTCTAAACCTTTATCCGGCTCGAAGGACCAACAGTCTACGATAGTTTTTACATAATGCACATTAACCTAGTAAAAAAGCATTCGCATGGAAATCTTTTTAGAAATAAGTAAACTTCGCACTTTTATTTGAAGTTTTGCACCTAAATCTTACAGTAGGTACTACACGAAACGCAATTCATTCCAACAATTTTTAAATTGTTTAGAATTAAGTTCAAGAGACAAATTAGAACAATTTGGGTAACAGCTATTTATTAATTGTAAATTTCAGATGTTTCGCTCACAGATATTGAGCTTCCTTAGGGAATTTTACCAGTCAATTTACTTTATTCTTAATCTACTTTTTCAGTGCAATATGTAATCATCATTATTATCTGTATTATTAAATATCACAGTTAAATTTGTTAGTTTAAACAAACCATTCTATTAAGATAATTCGAACTGGTCTGTATTCTGCCGAAACTGCCAGACGCGGATCACGATTTCGATGTTTTTGGATCTCATCAGCGCGTCGCAGGCAGCTCCGACAGAACACAGACCAACTTTTACCTGCTGTCTTAACAGTGCGTTTTAGAAAATACTACAAATGGCGCAGTAAACGCCATCTGTAGCACGATGCTACATTTTATTGTTTACTATTGTTTACTTCTACTAATAACCATTTTTTAGTCAATCACATTTAGTATTTTCCCTCTGCAAAATAAACAATCTGATAAAAAATTTGGAAAAGAAATCTGCGTAAGCTAGCTCAACCCAACCCAAACCTACCCTAATCTAATATAGGTTTCGACCTTTGACTATAGTTAGTTTCTCTTATAGAAAATTTAAACACACGATTGATTTGCACTTTAACTAAAGTTTCTTATCAGACCTGAGGTTTAACTAGGTATAAACAGTATGTATATGTTATTGTGTACACAATATTCCACTTTAAAGATGCCTTGGTGTACATACTGTCCATCATATATTGTGTAAAGTAGTGTAAATTTCCGGTACAACCGGAAACTCTTTATGTAGCCGTTTAATGTTTATGTGCATGCTAAGGATTTTAAAATTATATTCGCATTTCATTTCTAACGGGTTCCTCTTCACGAATAGTTCCGTGTAATAAAATAAGAATATAAATAGCAATAATACTTACCATTATTTTTTTTCCAATAACGTGTCAGTAACAGATACAAAAGATATAAAGCAACCAGTGTAACCACGATCGTTATAAAAACAGTCGCTGCTATTGACCCAGGTCCGTAACACGTTACTTCCTCTTGACTGGCTACCACACTAAACACACAGAACACTAGAAGGCCAGATAATAACCTTCGAATTTCTGAAGCCATGTTTACATAAGAATCTTTTTAAAAATGTTAATCACTTAAAAACACACTCTAGTATTTATCCCTCTGATGGCTCCCTCGTCAGTGCACTAATCTGAAAAACAAAAGAGTGTTTGTTTGTGATTACATTTTTGGTTGATGGCTTTACGATCTTGATCCGTTTCTTTTTCGTCTTCTGACTTTGGTTTCCATCAAATTAATGCATTCTATATCGCACTCATATTTAATTCTTTATTTATTCTTAAGTTTTATCCACTATAATAAGTTAACTCAAATTAATGAGAAAAAAATTGTTGCAATTATCACACCCTCGCCGAGAATCGAACCCGGGACCTTTGGCTTTACACAGCATTGCTTCGATTCCCGGCGAGGGTATGATAATAGCAACAAATTTTTTCTTATTAATTTGAGTGGATAAAAATCGAGAATAAATAAAGAATTAAATATGAGCGCAATGAAGAATTAGATGGTAACAAAAGTCAGAAAACGAAAGAGAAAAGGAACAAGATCGTAACGAATACCCGCACGATACATATAGGTATCAGTAACCGACATTAAAATCAATATTGAGCTAGTTTAAGATTGTCTTCTTTGGAAATGCTGCAAATGATGTTAACGTTACAATTGTTTCGAAAACGAGTTTCTAAAATGAAATGCGAAAAATGATTTTTTTAAGAGTTTCTAACGGTACTTCCACATACTGAGACATACTGTAAGGCAAATTGATAAAAAAGCAATTTACAGGATGCCGACCAGGTTCGCCTATTCGTTTTTAGAGTTCCATATTTGCCTGTCTGTGAAGGCCCATTTTCTTAGAAACGCGTAGAGGTATTAAGTTGGAATGAATATTAAATACTCAGGTCTGTAATTTCGTTTTATGGTTTCCACCCACTTTCCTTGAGAAAACTTATTGCTAAATAAAAGCCACCCGCATGCACAATCGCCATTCTAAAACAGTCTCGAATAGGCTGAAGCATTCTTGAACTATTCCGAACATTCTTCTGAATAAAGATTTATTTTAAAAGAAATCTTTCCAAATATAGCAGTTTGATCACACATTCACTATCATAAATACCACATACCGACACCCATCGTAATGACTAAATTCGCACGTTATCAGTAAATTATCAACACTGGCTGGGCTACCTTTCGTCACAACTATCACTGGATAAAAATGGGTAGTTTCATAGAAAACCTGGCATTCAGTATTATTTTGGGAAATTGTAGCTATATATATAATAAATTGATTGATTTAAATGCCTGTCATCAATATGTGTTGAATTAAAATAATTCGAATAAAATAATTCGAAGTGCCAGACGCGGATCGCGATTTCGATCTTTTTGGATCTCATCAGCGCGTCGCAGGCAGCTCCGACAGAACACAGACCAACTTTTACCTGCTGTCTTAATAGTGCGTTTCAGAAAATACTACAAACGGCACAGTGAACGCCATCTGTGTTGAATTAGATAATAATAATTCGTAACCTACTATTATTTGAAATAGTTCAGGTATCAGCAAATATCAAGATTACGTAAGTCGTTTTCCAATCTTGGTCTTGGTCTTCCTGATATAGTTTAGAATTGGTCTTGGTCTTGCCTGTTAAGTCTTTGTCTTTCTTATTTAATCTGATACTTACATTTTTTTAATAACAAACTTTTGTGTGAGAGTTATGAAAACTCTTTTTCCAATGGATAAATTGACTCTTCTTCCAACGCATAAATTGACCTTTTAGCAAACAAAATTGTAGAACGTACTTAAAACAAGTAAAAAAAAATTGTTATCCAGACATAGGAACAAAGAACACTTGCTCCGATAACATTCGTGTAGATCCCTTTTTACAAATAATGGTGATGTTTCTTTTTTTTTTATTTTCGATGTGTTAAAGTGGTAAAATATCTAATAAAACAAACCGAAAATTTCAGATACTAAAAATGTTTTGTTCTAATAAGAAAGAAATATATTAAAGTTGCTTCAAATAGTTTAACTCATAAATCCACCGGAAGTAATAATTTTTCGTTTAGTCTTGCGTATTTGGTCTTGGTCTTACATATTCGGTCTTGGTTTTAGTCTTGGTCTTGTTCGTTCGGTCTTGGTTTTAATTTTGTCTTTGTTCGTTCGGTTTTAGTTTTAGTCTTGCTTATATAAAGAACAATTTTATCCTTCACTATTCTTTGTATTAGTTAAAATTTAGTTTTACACCTTAAAAGTATTCGTTACAATGTTATTATAAATTGAATTAATATTCATAAGGGTTTCTTTCAACATTAGGGATTTTCAAAATGGAACGTATTGTAGAGGGAACGAGTGTGTTTGTGTACGATGGGGCACACGTGTGCGTGAACGGCTTATCGATTCGCCGACTAGCCGCGGGCGCCTCTCTTCATGTGCGCGAAAAAATAAACTATGCGAATGTTTCCAGAAGGTTCCCGAAAGTAAACAAAAGAGTATTCGAAGGAAGAAACGATCTCCGAAAGAAAGTAGAAATGAATTGACCGTTGTAGAAGTGAGTCGAGAAATAAATTGACAGTGATAGCAGTGAAATAAATAGCGCAGGGAATAGTGATATATTAATAATTAGTGTAAATAAATAGTTTTTGTCGTTATCAGTCTTAGAAGTTAATTTTGTTAAACCCACGAACATTACAATATTTTCATTATGTATGTGAAAATATTTAATCAGTATGAAATTTTTCAGTTGTAAAGGAAAAAATATTGAAAGGCAGATACATAGGTACTCAATCATATTACAACTATGAAATAAGAAACTGACCTTGCATTACAGAAATGCTGTATTAAATGCATAAATTATTTGCTATTAGTTATGCAATTTGTTATTATGAATACGTTACAATTACAGCATGTAGATATATTTTACATTATTAAGTATGACAATGGCTAGCAAATCGATTTTACTTTAAACATACACAATAAATATTACAGTAACAACACATTTATTATTTATCAAATTATTAAATATGCACAACTGCATTANAAGGGTTTCTTTCAACATGAGAGATTTTCAAAATGGAACGTATTGTAGAGGGAACGAGTGTGTTTGTGTGCGATCGGGCACACGTGTGCGTGAACGGCTTATCGATTCGCCGACTAGCCGCGGGCGCCTTTCTTCATGTCCGCGTTCTGGAAAAGCAGTTAAACAGTTCAAACAAAAAATTAACTATCCGGATGTTTCCAGAAGGTTCCCGAAAGTATTCGAAAGATGAAACGATCTCCGAAAGAAAGTAGAAATGAATTGACCGTTGTAAAAGTGAATTGAGAAATAAATTGACAGTGATTTGTTAAACCCACGAGCATTACAATATTTTCATTAAATGTGAAAACATTTAATCAGTATGAATTTTTTCAGTTGTAAAGGAAAAAAATATTGAAAGGCAGATACATAGGTACTCAATCATATTACAACTATGAAATAAGAAACTGACCTTGCGTTACAGAAATACTGTATTAAATGCATAAATTATTTGCTATTAGTTATGCAATTTGTTATTATGAATACGTTACAATTACAGCATGTAGATATATTTTACATTATTAAGTATGACAATGGCTAGCAAATCGATTTTACCTTAAACATACACAATAAATATTACAGTAACAACACATTTATTATTTATTAAATTATTAAATATGCACAACTGCATTATGCACCTACATGATGTCAATTTGTATTTAAAACACATTACGATAGATATTAAATTACTGTAAATATTAATCATAATAATTAAATCATTTTAAACTCGTATCTGGGCTCATTTAAAATATATTTATAAAGCGCTTAAGGTAATTTTGACTGCTTATGAGAACCATTAGCTCAAAGATAAATAAATGAAGAAAAACTAATTGTAAGTATAATTTGCATTTAAAATAAACTCAATTAGGACACAAGATGGGATTTTATTAAGAGGAAGACAGAAAAATTAGATATTCTGTTATTGTTTATTAATATAGAAAATGCAGAATTAGAAAATTTTGGAAACTGCATGTCTAACAAAGAAACCTTGATGATGAGATACGTATTTTTTTTAGTACTTTTAGTATATTTTTTAAACTTCAAAGACAGGTACAAATATTTAGTAATTTTTTACACTCTTTCAATTAAAATTAATCCCAAAATTCTTGCAACTGAATTTTTTTAATTTTCAACACTTCGAAATTATATTTTTTTTAGTTTCTTAAATGTCCGATTACATGAACTTTTTTCCGTTTTTCATATAGCATTTAATCTATTTGGTCGTTTTTGAACATATCAATTGGAAATTGGAAAGATGTGAAATCAGTCCATATAGGGATCAACTTCGGGGGTTACCTTCACCCCTTAAAAATGTTTTTCTGCAAAAGAATACGTACCGCAGGTTAACATATTAAAACCACTACTCAATTGGTGGCGGTCCCCTCGGAAGATTTCCTTATAAGATAAAGTATAACAAGGGTGTACCATTTAAGATTTTATTGTTAATTTATTAAAAATTAAATTACGAAATGGTTGACCGAATAATAAAAAGTCTAGCTTTTAAGAAAATTAAAATTAAACGAATCTTTCTCAAAAAAGCTATAGAAGGGGTGGAAGGCAAGTACCCATTTCCCCCTATTTTACTTATTTTTTTTTATCTACAATTATTTTTGGAATATGTTCATATAAAAATTTGTGTAATTTTTTTAATGTAATCTATAAATTTTCTAATAACCCATGGTTTTTCTCTGTTTTTACTTACAACTGTTTGACTTACACAATTTTTAATCGGTGGAATGTTGAGCAAGGTCATAGTCATCATTTTAAAAGGTGGTTCAGTATGTTCAGGTTGGTCTTGTTAGTAATTGTAGAATCGGTGCCTTAGAAATTGTAGTTAAGTGGGATAATGGTACACAAAAAAGAAGTATGTTGTTTTTCCATGTCGTTTAATTGTACATTCTTACTAATAACGGGCATGTATACTCGTTGCAGTCTGATTTTATTTCGCGACATACTAAAAACAATTGTACCAATGTAAAATGTTTTTTTTTTACATAGAAAATGTCTTAACGGATTATACTGTTTAAGGTGAACGTACTTAAAGAATTTTCAACATATGGTTAAT